TACTACTACTACTACTACTACTACTACTACTACGATCACGACCACTACTACTACTACTACTACTACTACTACTACTACTACTACTACTACTACTACTACGACTACGACTACGACTACGACTACTACTACTAATGCGACTACGACTACCACTACTATTTCTACCACTACTACGATCCAGCAAAAGACGCGCGAGATCCCAACCGCAATAGCTCAAGCGTAAATCTGCTCCTGTAGGGTGTCCATCGCAGTTTCAGATAGCAAAGGACAAGTATGGTAACTTTTCAATCTGGTTTCTTTATTCGCTTCCTCCTCGGTTGGGATCTGACCGTGCCTGGTGTTTTAGACGGTTGGGATCTGAACCGTCCGGTTGTGATCTCACGCGACCGATTGTGATCTGAACCCATCGCGGGGGGGGGGGGGAGGGGGGAGGAGGAAGGAAGGAAGGAAGGAAGGAGACGCGGGGCGCTGTCTCTTCAAAACGAGGACCCAACACCACAGGATGGTTGGGAACAATAGCAACCACAGCATTATCCCCAACAGCAGCACCATCACCATCACCGTCACCATCGCCACCATCATCATCATCAGCAGCAGCATCATCATCAGCATCATCATCAGCGTCATCACCACCACAGCCATCACCAGAATCATCATTATCATCATCACAAACAACAACGTCACCATCAATGTTGTCATTATAATCATTAGTATCACCATGTTCAACATGATCACACTGCGCATCCTCAGCCTGATCTCATCACACTCCTCACCATCATCACAATCATCGCCCGCATCCTCATCACTTGCCTCACCATCGTCGTCATCAGAATCATCATCATCATCATCATCATCAGCAGCATCACCATCATCATCATCGTCATCAACAACATCATCATCATTATCATCAGCATCAGTATCAACATCAGAACCAGCATCATCACGGATTCTTTCCATGGCGCAGTAAGCGACGCCGTTCGCCTCTCTCCTGAAGGCATGCCCCGAAAGTTGTACACGTTCAGACCGTATGCTACACCGTGGGGTCCAAAGGCTAATGCTTCCACCTCCTCGTCTGCCGCCTCCTCCTCCTCACTCATCCTCTTGCTCCTCCACGTCGTCGAATTATTCGTATTATGCTTCTTCTTCGTCATCCACCTCCTCAACCTCATTGTCATCCTCATCAGCATCATCATCGCCGTCGGCGTTCGCCGTCGTCATCGTCATCATCACTATCATCATCATCATCATCGTCGTCGCCGCCGTCGTAATCATCATCATCAACATCATCGCCGTCATCACCATCCTCAGCAGCATCATCAACAATATCAGCATCACAATCAACATCATCAAAAGCATCCTCCTCACCCCTCCTCCTCCCTCCTCCCTCCTCCCTCCACCTCCTCCTCCCATCCTCCCTCCGGCCCTCTCTCCATACCTCCCTCCTCTTTCCTCATCCCCCCTCCTCCTCCTCCTCCTTCTCCTCCTCTTTACGTTGGACAAGCGTTGGCTTGCTTGAGTCGTTGCGCCCTCCTCCTCCGCCTCATCCTCCTTCAGCATCAGTTGTAAGCATAACCATGTGAGCTTTCGGAGCTCCGCGAAAAAATTCTCGGATCGGCGCTGGACCCCCCTCCCTAGCGCAATTGGGAGGGGGAGGAGGAGAGGGACACTGAGTTCCAACGTCGCGAAACAAACACAACATCGAAAAAACACTACCACAACGCTCGACCTTCTCTCTCTGCGGCATCTCTCGGACCAAATCGATCCGTGAGGGTCCCGGGGGCCCGAAACTGCCCCGATGTACCAATCTCAAAAACAGCAGCAGATGTTGTGACCTCCAACTCCAGCCATCTCGCAGTCTGGTGTTCTGCTTGAAATGTGCCACAGGTTCCAAAGTGAGCCTTGTCGTGCAACACTTAACCACTTGGCGGATTAAGCAACGCCGTTCGCCATGCCTCCTGAAGGTATGCCCCAACATGTGTACACGTACAGAGCCTATGCTACACCGCGACATCCCAAGGTTAATGATTCCACCTCTTCATCTGCCGACTCCTCCTTCCTCATCCTCCGTCTGCTCATCCACATGTACTTCTTCTTCGTCCATATCCTCCTCCTGATCCTCCTTTTCTTCATTGTCATCCTCATCGTCGTCGTCGACGTCGCCGCTTCCACCTGATTCCTCATCCTTCGCATCATCACCATCGCCAACCACACCGTCAACAGCAACGCGTGAACATCTGCCGTTCCATCCTCGTCATCATAATCCGCATCATCAGCAGCATTGAAATCACCAGTATCATCATCATCATCATCATCATCATCAGCATCATCATCCTCATCGTCATCATCATTAGCATCATCATTATCAGCACTACCATCACCATCAGTATTATCAGCGGCATCATCAGCATCATCATTATAAACAACCTCACAACCATCTACAACAACAGAAACAACAGCATCACCCTCATGATCATCACAATCACAATGACAATCACCATCACCATCATTATCGTCACCATCACCATTACCATTTTCATCACCATCGTCATCGTAATCGTACTCACCATTTAATCAGTATCATCATCATCATCGTCGTCCTCAGCAGCATCATCACCACCATCAGCATCAGCATCGTCATTACCTCCATCAGCAGCATCACTATTACTATCATCATGCACGTCGTCACCACCATCAACAACAGCAACCACATCCTCCTCCTCGTCGTCCTCCTCGTCAGCCTCTTCATCGTCGTCGTCGTCACCATCACCATCAGTAGCATAAACAACATAAACACGATCATCAACATCACAAACAACCAATAGCAACCACAGCATTATCCCCAACAGCAGCACCATCACCATCACAGTCACCATCGTCATCTTCATCATCAGCGTCATCACCACCATAACCATCACCAAAATCATCAGTATCATCTTCATCACAAATAACAACATCACCATCAATATTGGCATTGTAATCATCAGCATCACCATGTTCACCGTGATCACCATCCGCATCCTGAGCCTGATCTCATCACAATCCTCACCATCATCAACATCATCGCCCGCATCCTCATCACTTGCCTCACCAGCATCGTCATCACCATCATCATCATTATCAGTATCAACATCAGAACCAGCATCATCACGGATTCTTCCCATGGCGCAGTAAGCGGCGCCGTTCGCCTCTCTCCTGAAGGCATGCCCCAAAAGTTGTACACGTTCAGACCGTATGCTACACCGCGGGGTCCAAAGGCGAATGCTTCCACCTACTCATCTGCCGCCTCCTCCTCCTCACTCATCCTCCTGCTCCTCCGCGTCGTCGTATTCTTCATATCATGTTTCTTCTTCGTCATCCACCTCCTCATCCTCGTTATCCTCATCAGCATCATTATCGCCGTCGGCGTCAAAGTCGCCGTCGTCATCGCCATCATCACTATCATCATCATCATGACCATGATCATCATCATCATCATCATCATCATCATCATCATCATCGTCGTCTCCGCCGTCGTCATTATCATCAACATCATCGCCGTCATCACCATCCTCAGCAGCATCATCAACAATATCATCATCACAATCAACATCATTATCATTATCTTGTTCATCGTCAACAGCATCATGATCATCACCATCCTCATAAAACAACATCGCTACCATAATCAACAACAACTTCAACCACATCATCCTCCTCATCCGGCTCCTCGGCACACCCATCCTCGTCGACACCATGATCAGCAGCATAGACAACATCAACATCACCAGCATCACCAACAACAGCAACAACAGCATCATCACCATCACCATTACGATCACCATCGCCATCATCAGCATCATCGTCATCATCATTTTCATCATCATCATCACCGACATCATCATCATCATCATCATCATCATCAGCATCACCGTCTGCATCGCCACTACCATCATCGTCGTCATCGTCGTCGTCACCGTCGCAACCGTCGTCATGATCATCAGCATCACCGTGTTCACCATCATCACCATCACCATCAATATCACAATCACCATCAACGTCGCCACAATCACCATCACCATCAGCATCATCACCATCACCATCACCATCAGCAGCATCATCATCAGCAGCAGCAGCATCATGATCATCCGCCTCACGGTTCCTGTTTGTCTCTCGCCCTCTCTCTCTTTCTCTCTCGCTCTCCCCCTCTCTGTATCATTCACCTTCTCCTCCTCCTCCGCATCCTCCTCCTCCTCATCCTCCTCATCCGCCTCCTCCTCCTACTCCTCCTCCTTCTCCTCCTCCTCCTCTGGAGCCTCTGGAGCCTCGGAGCGCGTGTCCCGCAGCGCAAGACACGCACAGACCATTTGAATTAGTGGGCGGGGAATGGCACCCCAACCTCCTTCTTGCTGGTTGGGTCCACACCATTGCGCAGCAGCTTGAGTGAGCGTTCCGCACCACTGGTTGGCCTTTGATTGCATCGCAGGGCCAAGCCCTTGACCTGCCTCCGCGCGTGGCAACCACAGGCCATACAAAAGAACAGTTCACCACTGACACTCCACATTCTGTGGGTGTCGTGGCACCTGGCCAGGACGCGAGGCTTGCCTGGGCACTGGTCCTGCACGACAATGCTTCTCTTCACGGAGGCTCTGCCGCACATTCTACACCCCCAGACCCCGTCTGCGAGGTGGAGGAGGTGATTATTATCCGACCTGTCTATTTTGAGGGTGGCCACAGGTTGGGCCGCCCCAAGAGCTACAGGCTTGTACTTACTCTTCTTGGGAATTCTATCTACATCAGGAAAGCAGCCCTGGCTTAGGTTGCCCAAAGTTCCTCCGAGCATCCGAACAAACTGACT